AGGGGGCTGGGGGTGCAGGAGGCTGGGGGGGTGCAGGAGGCTCGGGGTGGTGGGGGGTTTGCAGGTGGCTGGGGGTGGCTGGGGGTGCAGGTGGTTGGGGGTGTCTGGGGGGAAGGGGCCTGGGGGGCAGGTGGCTGGGGGTGGCTGGGGGGGTTGCAGGTGGCTGGGGGTGGCTGGGGGGAAGGGGCCTGGGGGGGTGCAGATGGCTGGGGGTGGCTGGGGGGGGTTGCAGGTGGCTGGGGGTAGCTGGGGGGAAGGGGCCTGGGGGGGTGCAGGTGTCTGGGAGTGGCTGGGGGGAAGGGGCCTGGGGGGCAGGTGGCTGGGGGGGTGCAGATGGCTGGGGGTGTCTGGGGGGGGTTGCAGGTGTCTGGGGTTCCGGATCTAAACTCTTGTTCTGTAACTGAGCTGGCGTCGAGCTGGCTGCAGGGTCCTTCACCCTCCCCCGGGGCTGGCTGCCCCCCCCTCTCCTTTTATTCCCAGGGCAATGGGGGACCTGAGCCCGTGTGTCCTGGAGCTGGTCCCAGCTCAGAGACCCCTAGTGGCCCTCTGGGAGGCTGGCCCCATCGGCCCCAGCCCTGTGCCCTGCCAGAGGCACAAGCCCCCCCAGTCCCCGTCTGGCTCCACTCACTGGAACCTCCCCGAGCCTGTCCACCCGGCGCCAGGCAGCCACCTCTGGGGTGGGGCACGGCAGCTGTTTATACCAAGATCCTTCCTCCAGGCCCGAGATGCAGCTGCCTCTGGGGCCGAGGGCAGAGGGTGTGTCCCATTGCAATGGCAGGGGAGGGGACGTGCAGGTTTGGGGGGCAGAGCAGAAATACGGAGCTCTGAATGTGGCCGGGCCCCGGAGCTTTGTGCAGCTCTCGGGAATGTGACGCTCCGGTTTATGGCTTAGCTGTAAGACAGGACCTGTGGGAGCACAGCGCCCCCTAGTGCCATGCTGGGACCAACACAGCCTAATGGGGAGAGCGCCCCCTGCTGGTCCCCCGCCCTGCTCCCTACAGCACAGCGCCCCCTAGTGCCATGCTGGGACCAACACAGCCTGATGGGGAGAGTGCCCCCTGCTGGTCCCCCGCCCTGCTCCCTACAGCACAGCGCCCCCTAGTGCCATGCTAGGGCACTGGGACCAACACAGCCTGATGGGGAGAGTGCCCCCTGCTGGTCCCCCCGCCCTGCTCCCTACAGCACAGCGCCCCCTAGTGCCACACTGGGGCAATGGGGCCAGCGCTGACTGCCAGGGGAGAGCGCCCCCCATTGAGCCCCGTGATCTGCTCCCGGCACCCCCGTCCTGCCCAAGGTGGTTTCCCGCCCCAGCCCTCGCTGGCCTGGCCCTGCCCGGCCGAGCGCTCACCGGTGCCAGGGATGGCCGGCAGCTTCAGGCCCTTGCCGGGCGGGGGCTTCCGAAGCTGCTTGAACTTGTCGATGCGGAGGTTCTCCAGGCGGCGCAGGGCCGAGAGCCCCGAGGCGCCCATGGGCTCCCCCGGCGGGGGGTCCTCCAGCGTGGACAGGTCCTCGAAGCTGCCGCCCGGGTTGGCGTTCATCTCCACCCCGCTGTCGTTGTTGTTGGCGCTGCCCAGGGGCGAGCGCTCGCTGCTGCAGGACGACTGCCCACCGGGACTGGGCTGGGGCTTCTGGGGAGACAGGGAATGGGGGGGGCACCAGCCCCTCATTAGCCACAGCCTCCGGGGCACCCCCTGGCCACACGCCAACCCCCCGCAGCTCAGGCAGTGAGGAATTCCCTCCCCCAGCAGCCCAGAATCCAACCCCCCCATGGCAGGGCCTTGTCCTGGAGCGTGGCAGCCCGGAGCCTCCTCTGCCCAATTTGCCCCCCTGCCCCACCCCACTCCGTACCAAGGTGGCCTCGGGCACCATCAGCTTCCCCTCATCCTTCCTGCCCTCGCCGGGGCAGCCTCCCTCCTTCTCCTGCTTCATGTCTGCGGGGCCCCCCGGGGCAGCCAGCGCCCGGCTCAGCACCGTGTCGCCCCGATGCTTCTTGGTGACGTGGGCGTCGGGGCCGTGCACCGTCTTGACGTGCTTGCGCAGGGAGCTGGGGTCCGTGTAGCGCTTGGTGCAGCCGGGGATCTTGCAGACGTACGGCTTCTGCAGTGGGGGGGCGAGATGGGGGGGTTAGCCCAGCCCGGGAGACAGCCCCATGGGCACCTCTGGGCGCGGTGAGCTGCCTGCTGGGGAAGGACCACAGGCACCCACCCGCCTGATTCCAAAACTGGGGGTGTCAGCCCCAGGGGAGGCCGGGCACCAACATGGAGAGGGGGCCGTACTGGGGGCATGGAACGTGCCCTGTCGGGAACAGAGGCATTGCCAGACCCGGGGTCCAGCTAGCCCAGTGGCCTGACTGTGCCAGGGGCTGTGGGCCCCAAGGAAGGGGTGGGCGGCAGCAGCCGGGGATCAATCCCCCTGAAGTGTGAGGCTGGCTTCGGCCACGTGGCACCGGGGGCAAATCCCGAACGGCTGGAGGGTCTTGCTCCAAAGTGTGAGCTCCTCGGGCCGGGCCGGGCTTTGCTCTGGGGCCAGTCGCTGCTGGACCAGGGACGGGGAGTGGCTGGCTCATTACACAAGCGGCTTTGCCTCTCCTGGAATTGAGGCCTCCTCATCTCTTATTGGGAGTGGCCCACATCCACCCTGATCGGATCGGCCCTGTCAACACTGGTTCTCCACTTGTGAGGGGACGCCCGTCGCTTCGGGTGTCAGTATATCATGCCAGCAGCTGTAACTTTCACTCCGTGCAGCCGAAGAAGTGGGTTTTACCCACGAAAGCTTATGCCCAAATAAACCTGTTCGTCTTTAAGGTGCCACCGGACTCCTGGTTGCATTGGGAGCTCCCTGGAAGAAACCTCCCCCCATAGCCAAGAGTGACCAGCTCCTATTGTCCAGCCTAAAGAAAACCCTGGAGCCATCAGCTTACCCAGAAACAAATCCAGTGTCTCCCCTGAACCATTGTTTCCCTATAACCCCCCCCCACACACACCCAAGTCAGTGCTCTGCTGCCTGGACCCAAACTCTGCATCCGTTCCTCTGGGACTCCATCTCCTGCCTGATCGGGCTGGGGGCTCTGCCTGGCTCCCGCCCTCCGGACCCTGAGCTCCCACCGTCCCCGGGACCCCCAACCAGCTCAAGCCTCATGGAGTGGGTGAGATCCCCCTCCCCTGCTCTGTTTTCTTTTCTACCGCAGCGATTAACTGTTAATCATGTAACTGTTATGGTGCTTTAGGCTCCCTTGTGTAGTTATCACTAGTAGTCACTGAAGAACTTGTAGGGTTCAGCTGGTCGCTTCTCTCTCGCTCTGAACTTTCCTCTTTTGTGGCTTTAGCTTCCCTATTCACTCTGCAACAACGCTCCTCGTACCTGAGCTACAGATCCCTGCAGCGCCCAAAATCCTGTGGGGTTTGCTCATCAAGGGGAGAGAGAGAGAGAGAGTGTGTGTGTGTGATGGTAGCTCCAATGGGAGGGGCCTTGCAGAAGGGAGATGTACAGCTCCGTATGAACACACACGTGACACAAGCAGCACATTGATAGAATTACACCCCCCCCCCGAAGACTAACCCTAATCAATTAATGTACCCCCGAGTAACGGGCACATCTGGTAACGGGGGGGGTGTCG